CGATCTCAAGAGACACCCCCAGTCCTCACCCCCCGGGCAGCTGGGCCTCGCTGTGGGCTTGGGGGGCAGGTGTGTTCTGAAGCCTTTGAAACGGATCAGGGAGTGATGGATCTCTCTTTCCTGATGAGCTGGTTTGGCTGTGAGTGTACTGTATGGCTTTTTAATTGGCTCCCCTGTACTGCCGGCAGTGCCACACACAGCTGCTCTCGAGCACAGCGCTGCTCCTGCCTGCTGCATCTCACCTGTTCTGTGGTCGGCTCACTCTCTCGTACACCTGCAGTTCAAGTCAGCCAGTTACCTGCCTGCCCAGCGAGTTCACTGGCTCACACAGGACTCTCAATCTCTCAATCTCTCAGTCTCTCTCACTCTCTCACACTCCCTCGTGTCCTCCATCATTAAGTCACTCATGATCTGTGTTCCTGCCTGACATGGTTTGGATTCAGACTTATAGGTTATAGAGTTGATGCTTATTTGCACTGCAAAATGTATGGACTAATTATTGGAATAGAATTATTCACAATATTCAGCTACCAGAAGGTCTCAAGGCCTATTAAAACACTGATACAAACTGACTGTGTAAAAACAGCAGTAATTGATCTGCTCTTAACGAGGTTCTTAAAGAGTAAGTGATCAGCATCAAGGAACAGGCAAGAACTACCTGTGCCTGACCTGTCAGGCACTACATCAGGCTGCTAAACCCTTAACCCCTTGTAGAGGCGCAGTCCCAAAGCCACACTGCTGTGTGTACTGGGCTCAATAAAGATAATGAAACTGCATTATCCACTTCTTCTCTTATGGGAAATTCATGTTTTATTACATGGTAAAGTGTTGTCGACTTAACTTCTTTGAGAGTTTACAGATCCACCTTTCACATCGATGTCTCCTCTTATTTGTCTTTTCTGTCTCTGAACTCTCCTGTGTTCTCCCACTAGCACCTGGGGATTCACCTTTGACCTCTTGTATTCTGGTCAGGGTCTGAAGGGTGACTGAGCCATTCAGCAAGTGGAATTTTCACTTGAGAGGTATAGATTAGTGGAGTTTGAATTGATTGTGTTTTCCTGCAAAACAAACACTTTGATTTTGATTAACGAGACTCATTCAAATGCATTTTGTGTTAAACGCTGAGGCAAACATGATTTAGATTTGCATTGTGGGTGAACAGAGACAGAAATAACATACGTGATTATACAGCTGCAAATTCTAGAGCTCCAGACATGCAGGCTCAGATATTGATGTCTATGACCGCAGTTTCATCAACATCAGTTAAGCAATTGAGAAAAGCTGTGAAAGGTTTGTCTTACCACTTTTCATTAAAAGGCGTTAAAAACATGAATATGTCCCGATGCTTCAGGCAATAATTAAACTGTTGCGGGGAAACAAAATTGTAGGGCAATGAGGTCAATAATGGAATATAAACAAACTAAAAGGGCGATAAAACATTTTAATGTTAGATTTTAATACATTTTGATGTATTATTATCAAATTTAGTCCCATGCATCACATCAGCTGATGATAAAGCTATTTTTAGGGCGACACACAACACTCACACACATGTGAATTCAGCCTGGACACTGGGATTAACACCCCCAGTCTAATGAACAGGGCCCTGGGATCTGTAATGACCAAACAGGCAGGACTCTGATTGGAAAGTCTCATCTGAAGGACTGCACCCCCTCCACCTCCTGCTCAAGGCTGTAGTGGGACTCCCTGTGTGCAGCACTGCCTCTCTTGCCCTGCGCCTCTCTGCGCTGTGCAGAGCACAGAGCCCCAGAGTGTCCGCTGAGGTCTGTCCTGTGGCTGGAGCTGTGCCCTGTCAGAAGGCCCGGCCACTGGGGTGACTCTCACGGTGCTCACGGTGCTCTCCGAAGACTCGCCGTGGTGCGGTTTGCCAGCTACTTGTGTCTCTACGGCAACACAGGGGGGCAGCAGAAACTGCCAGCGCAGACAGAGCATGGCGAGAGCCGAGCTGATAGCATCTTAATTAGCCATCTAACCATGCTAATCGAGGCCAGAGGATCCAGAATCCTCTTTTGATTGGACGTGCATTTATAGGCTTGAGCAGCTTTTATCTCGTGGCCTGTTTGCCACCTGCTGCTCGGGCTGAATTGAGCAGAATACAGATTGAATTCAATCGCACCTCCGCTCAGGAGACTTAGCTTCCACATGGCTCAGTCTCCAGCCCATCGGCTAGGTGGTGAACTCCACCACGCCGGGCGCCATTGGAAGAACAAACCCTTTCAATTTCTATGCGGTTAAAAGCATTTTTTTTAAAATGTATTTGATCTTTATGCTCCTGTAGTCCTGTTTTTCGGTTCAGCATTCACCTACAACTGAGGCGCAGAAGCAAATGTCTGAACATCTGCAAAAGCCGCACAGTATTTCTGAGCTGCTCTGGAGGGAAGAGAGACAAGACAAGGTGAAACGCATCAGGCACTGAAACTTCAAAGGGTTTTATTGTTGTTCTTCCTTCACAGACCTGAAAGATTTCCTAGAGACACGTTTGCCCTTCCTGAGGTACTCCTGCCTGCTGGCGGGTCGCTATGGGGAGTGGGGGGGTCTCACTGTGAAATTCAGGTTCATGTACTTCATGTGATTTCAGGTGACTTTTTATGTTTTTGCTTGTGTGTTTTGTACTTTTATGGGAGAAGCGAAAGACAGATTTCCACAGTCGTGGACACGAAAGAATCGATCTGTTCTCAATGGGTTTCACAATCGCAAGGAAAAGCTTGCCCAGCACTAGCCATG